TGAGTGACATTGAGATAGAAGACGTCATTGAAGCGTTTCATCCAAAGGGCTTCATCAGTCCAAGGAGCCACAACAACAACACTCACACACTCACACTCAAATCAGTTTGATGGTGATAAGATGGTTTCTGGGGCCTGCCCTCTCCCCATCGACTCCTCTGAGGCAGCACGACGGCTCAGTGGTTAGCACTGTTGCCTCAAAGCAAGAAGGTCCTGGGTTCAATCCCCCCGTTGGACCATGGGGTCTTTCTGTATCGAGTTTGCATGTTTTTCTCATGCTTGCGTGGGTTTTCTCCGAGTACTCTGGTTTCCTCACACAGACCAAAAACATGCATGTTCGTCTGCCTTTAGGCCTAGGCCTCCCTTGCAAAGAGATCTGTGATCTCAGTGAGATTTGCCTGGTTAAATAAAGGTTAATAATAATAAAATAGCCAAAGTGGTTCAAAACATCAAAGTTCATGCGCAATAATCCAGGTAAATAATCCAACAAAATTCAGTCTGGTCATCTGTATGTTTTTTTTGTTTGTTTGTTTGTTTATTGAGACGTTGTCCTTCATCCAAAGGACTTCATCGGTCCGAGGAGCCACAACAAACTGAGTCCTACAAGCAGCATACTCCCTGGCTGCCTCAGAGGAGTCGATGTGGGAGAGGGCGGGTCCTAAAAACCATCTTATCACCAGCAAACTGGTTGGCTCACTATGTGAGTGTGCTGCTTGTTGGACTGCGTTTGTTGTGGCTCCTCGGACTGACGAAGTCCTTTGGATGAAGGACGAATTGTCTCAAAAAAAAAAAAAAAAAAAAAAACGCCCAGATGACCTGATTGAACTTTGTTGGAAAATACAATACAATTTTGTTTATCATCTACTGTCGATAGATGAAAAGCAGGCAATGAGGTTTTGGCTTGTCTGTTAGCAAAATATTTCCTGAACCACAGCACAGGTTGCAATGAAACTTAAAACCGTCTCTAAGAAAGCCACTTTTACAGATTTCAAGCTAAAATTTGGTGTGTTAGTGGCTGAGAGTCATTCCCAACAGATGCTGGGATCACACAGGATTTTGGACATGCAAGTTGGAGGTTGATAGGCATCCCTTCGAGGAACGTGCGGCCTTTAAATTATTGTGGCTTCTCTTGGATACATAATATGCAGGAACTCCAATCAGAATGACTTTCACCTTTTAATTTAGATTATTTTATTGATTCTTCTTAGCTTGAGAGAGAAGCAACATGTTTGTTTTTTTTAATGAGGTTTTTGAACACTTCAGGAACTGGAACGCTCCTGACAGATTCAATAGCAGGTCTAAACACACCACCGCTTAAAGCTGATGTTTTTCGCAGCCCTTTAATGTTCTTGTGGGAAAACCGATGCGTCCAAAAACTTTGCTCTGCTGGAAAACTCGGCGGTTTTGTCGAGAAACAAGCCAACACTCCGGGGAAGCTCGCAGTCAGTTTAAACTCTCTGATTTCGTTCCTTAAAACAATCTGGGCTCGTTTTGTTTTTGTTGGCCGCAGCAGGTCTGTTGTTGCTCTTAACTCGGCTCAGCTCTTTGACAAACGAGTTCTGAGTCACGAGTTCAATTTTCCTTGGAAGAGCCTCGAAGACCAACCTTACTGGACAATCTGGTGTTTGACAGAGGGGGCTTTTAGCAGAAGGCAAAACCTGACGAAAGTTCAAAGGTCTCTTTATTTTAATATGCTGACTCATGGTGGAGATGCTGTCTCACATGAAGGCTCCTTAAAGAAACAAATCATTCGGCTGGCGCTGCGAAGGACCTTTTATAGCTTTCTGTCTTCGCAGGTTAAATGCAAAACAGAGTTGTAAACGTTAAACGATTTGTACGATTCAAGGAAATACAGATCACATAAAAAGGCCTAGCTTACAGAGTTTCATACTAAGATCTTCTTATAACAAGTAAAGATGGAGTTTTATGACCCTCAGCTTCCTAGCTAACATGCTAATAACAAGATGCTAAGGAAGTAGCTCCGAATGCTAAACTTTGCCCTAAAGTGTTTGAATATTTGACCACTAAAGTAACCTCAAGCGCTTCATGTTTTTTCAATGAGTTGTTAAAATAAGTCCTCTTGCGTAAAAGTTTGTGTCATGAGCAGGAGTCATGTATTTTTATTTTTTATTTGCTGGTTTATTAGCCGACAAACAAAAAAAACAACAACATCAAAGTTCATGCTCAATAATCCAGGTAAAAAAAATTCAACAAAGTTCAGTCAGGTCATCTGGACGATTTCTTTTTTGTTGAGATGTTTTCATCCAAAGGACTTCATCAGTCCAAGGAGCCACAACAAACTGAGTCCCACAAGCAGCACACCCACGTAGTGGACCAACCAGTTTGCTGGTGATAAGATGGTTTCTGGGGCCCGCCCTCTCCCCAATCGACGCCTCTGAGGCAGCCATAGCCAAAGTGGTTCAAAGCATCAAAGTTTAATTGATGACCATAATGACCTGACTGAAAATTGTTGGCTTTTTTTAACCTGGATTATTGAGCATGAACTTTGATGTTTGACCCACGAAAACAGGATTTTAAAAAATTAGAATACTGTGGAGAAATCAGTACAAATGTTGCAGGGCATGAATGTTTTAAACTGTGACACACTAATCATGTACTAAACTCAAAGCACCTGCACAGGTTTCCCCAGGTGTCATTAAATTGCTTCAGTTTGGTTCAATTGTCTCAGTTCGGTTCAATATGAGGAAGACTGCAGAGATAACTGGCCAGAAGACCATCATTGATGCCCTCCATAGGGTGGGTAAGCCACAAAAGTTCATAGCTAAAGAGGCTGGCTGTTCACAGAGTGCTGTGTCCAAGCATATCAATGGAAAGTCTAGTGGAAGGGCAAAATGAGGCAGAAGAAGATGCACCAGCAAAAGAGATGACCATGGGCTTCAGCGGATTATCAAACAGAGAAGATTCCAGAATCTGGCAGAGATCCAGAAAGAGTGGAATGAGGCGAGAGTCACAGCTTCAAAAACTACCACATTCAGATGCATCCGGGAGATGGGCTACAGCTGTCGGGTTCCTCTGTCCTCTTTTCCGATGAAAGTAAAGTGTGCCTTTCATTCGGAAATCAAGGTCCAAGGGTTCAGGGTGATGAACAGAACCCATACTGCTTGAGGTCCAGTGTGAAATATCCACAGTCAGTCATGATTTGGAGTACAATGTCCGGTGCAGGTGTTGGTAAACACTGCTTTCTTAAATCCAAGGTCACTGCAACAGTGTACCAGAATGTTTTAGAGGACTTCATGATTCCTTCTGCTGAGGATCTGTATGGAGATGCAGATTTCATTTTCCAGTAGGACCTGGCCCCTGCTCATGCTGCCAGAAGCACCAAAACCTGGTTTGATGCCCATGCCAAAGTGCTTGACTGGCCAGCCAACTCGCCGGACCTAAACCCCATTGAAAATCTATGGGGTATTCTTAAGAGGAAAATGAGGGGCACCAGAGCAACAACAAAGAAGAGCTGACAGCAAGCATCAAGGAAATCTGGGCTTCCATAACTCCCAGTCAATGCCACAGGCTGATTGCCTCAATGCCACGTCACATCAAAGCAGTGATTAAGGCAAAGGGATTCCCAACCAAGTACTGAAGACTGACATATCATTTTGAAAGTACCATATTTTGATTGATTTGTTATGATCCTAATTTCTTTCTTTCTTTTCTGCAAAAACTGAGTAGTGTGGGCTGAAGTCTTCACAGGATTCAAATTTTTTGAAATACTGTTTTTGTGGGTTTCATGAGCTGGAAGCCCAAATTATGTAAAAATAAACAAATAAATATTTGAAGTTGTTTAAATTGTGGGCCCTGAATCTATCATCTATTAAAGATTAACTTTTTGAATGGAATTATGGAAGTTAAACAACTTTTCCATGACATTC